AACTATTATTAAACATATGCACATCAACTTTTAAAGCTTTTAAAATGTTTACGCTAAGGAAACTATGCACTACTATTTACTACAACACACTTGGAAAGAATATTCCCCATTTCTCAAAAAAACATGTTGCGATTAAAGAATTTTGATAATTTCTTTAAAATAGTGTTCTTCGCATTAATTTATTCTCTGTGAATTTGCATTTTTCATTTTACATGAAAACTGAAAAAAAAAAACAAATATAATATATTCCGACATCGCCGGCACATATGCCAGTGCATAATTTACCAGAATAAACCTGCATAATTCATTTGTAAGTTGTAACTAGATTTGCTTCTACGAATTAGCGGTTTCTCTTTTTTCCTTGTCAAATTATACAATCACAATTATAAAAATAGAAGTATTATTCGGATAATTTGTTAGTTTTTGAAAATTGTTTTCAAACCGATCATCATTGTATACGTTACTATATTGATCACATCAACTGGAAACATTATTTATATAATGTATATGCAATTAACGAAGTAAGAGATAATACTTGTAATAATATTGAATTATGAACTAATTCTTATGATTAGTACATTGCTGAAACATTTTTTGAGAAAAAACCTCCTTCGTTTATAATGCAAACTCAAAAACAAATATTTTTAGTAACTTCCAGTTGCAAAATTGTTTTACCTCTTTTTAACTTTTTTATAATATTTATTTTGTTAATTTTTCTCTACCTCATGGGAGCATTATTGCTTCATTATTCAACCAATGCAAAATAGAAATTTCATGGATACATTATTTACAATATCAGTCTGTAAATGACCTTCACCTGGTATTCGTCAGAAATATTTATCAGCAGAGTTAGAATAACTATTGATTTAATTTATCTCCTGTAAAATAGCCTTATTAACTTAATTTACTTCTTTATTTACTATTTTATTATTTTTTACAACTTTGCCAGTGTTAAGTTCTAGTTGGTTCCTTCTATTGTACCCACACTTACGCTTTTATAGAAGTTGTAGAAAATAATCTTCTGAATATAATTTAAAACTATCAATACATCATATAAAACAAATAAATTACGTATACTTAAAAAATATATTAAGGTCTTATAAACTAAAAAACAGTGCTCAAACCAAAAAAAACTTTCGTTATGGGTTTTCATACTTTGCCATTTATCACCTGATGGCTACGTTTTAAGAATTCAGGTGATGCTAGTTATACATCTTTTGCTCTATACTTTCAAGTATTGTTATTAACTAGTGGTTATTAACTAGCATTGTACCTTAAGAGAAATTGCAGGAACTTTGCATACCGAAAATTAAAATTATTAAAAAACATTTAAAAAATTTTAGAGCCAAAAACTAATCAGCACGTCTCCTTATCAAAAGAAATCGAATGTTTTTTGCATCATTCAAAATCAAATCGTTTAAACCGTGTTCCTGAAATCGTCGACGAAAATTTGTATCCGAATACACACACACACATACAACCATTTTTTCTAAGGTATGCTAAAATGTTAAGAAACCTCTTAAACGTGAAGCAGTATAAAAATTTCCATTTTTGATTTGATTTGCGAAGTTAAAAAATTTCTACTTGTTTCTGAGATATCGGTAGTAGACCTCTTTATCCGCGGACATTTAAGCCCCGCTCTATCCTATAAATAACATACATAGAATTTTGTGTTGTAAATTATTACATAGCGTTACAGTACTTACTTAGACTTAGTTTGGTCAAAATATGGTCTTGATATAATAGAATATAGGCTTGATATAAATAAAATATCGCTGTTTAACACGAAATTTATTTTGTAACAACTGTCCAAGTTTTCCATCAAATGAAATTCATAATATATAAATCAAATTAAATACATAATATAATTATTTTTTATAAGTGTTTAAGTAGAATAATTAATAATAAGTAAAAAAAAATCTGTAAATTGTATAAATAGTATTTTGACATAATAAAATCGCTACGTATAAAACAATGTTTATTGCCATTTTATATCTCGAGAGATACTGAAAATGGAGGTAAAGCTTCTATTAAATGAAATGTGACGGAAACTATTTCCACGGCGTCGTCTTCTCGAAATTCTATTTTCGTCTTCAGAAGCGAAATAACGCACGATCAAGTGTGCTGATGGATACGAGGCGTTTGAGCTAATTAGCTCATGATCATACGTGCTTAGATTGTATTTTATTCAGTTGAAAACCAATATTTACTCAACAAGACTAATTTATTGCATAATTATGGTTCATTTATCACTTGCTTATTTACAAGTCAATATTTACGATGCATACAAATCTTTTAACTAGTTGTAAGTAGCATTTTGCCTTAAGATAAGTTGCATGAACTTTAGAATACGTATAATATTTATTTATTTATTTATTTATTCATAAGCAAGCCGTAATCAATAATAATAGATATTATTTCAGGCTCTTGTCAAGCTTATTCATAGTTAATATTAAAAGGATACTAATTTTATAATAATCATAGTAGCTGCACGAATTTCGATTCTGAAAAAATGAGCTGAAAAAAAGCATTCGAACATTAAATACAATGTTCATCATAAAGTTCATCATATTAAAGTCTATTTGACCACCAGTCAAGCTCAAAATTCTTGCACAAGGTTGAAAGTTATACTTATTTAAAACCGTAAAAAATTTAAATTAATAAAATAGCAATAAAAAAATGCAAAAAAATAATGGTTGTACAGGCGATCAAATGGTCAGACTACATAGATACAGGATAAGGATTATGGGATATATTAATTAAATTTGAAAATTTGCTTTATTTGACTTAAATATATACATTGGTTTTTACATAAGATGCAAATTGTATACACATATTCTGGAAATAGTATACTATCCTAATATAATATTGTTTGCATATATATATATATATATATATATATATATATATATATGCAAACAATATTATATTTATAATATATATTATTTATAATAATAAGTATAATATATTTAATGACCTTAATCAATAATAATTGAGATTCAACTATTTAGATAAAATAATCAGCTGTTTATTTTGGAAATAGTAATTTTGATTACACTAAATCGATATGATTTCCAGTTGATCTCTTTGATTGATATATACTTATAATATCTGTAATTGTATAACTTAAAATAATTTGTTTATCACATTTCATTAAAAATGAATTCTATTAAGTGTGCTTGTAAACTGTAATCAGTAGCTAGCAGTGAAACAATACGGCGTGCTTCGACATATATTCTGATTATAATAGCTCTGATTCAGATTTCTATGAAACAAAATATAAAACTAGTTGCTAGTGGCATATGGCTTTGTGGCAAGTTGCATGAACTTCTCTAAATGGGTAAATGAATGTGTTAAGAAAAAATATTTTATATACTTATATATGATCTACCTATCTACCTATCTACATGACCACTTCTATACTAGTCTAACTGCCTACATGTTTACTTCACCACTTTTTTATCTATTTAACTATCTGCCTCTCCACCTGTCAACCTGTCCACCTATTTACCTATCTATTAGTTCACCTGCTTAATTGTCCATATGACCACTTGTTAAATTTACGAAATTTATTTTTGCCCACAAATCCAGATTTGTTCTTGAGAAGTTTCAAATCATTTTGATTTTTTTTAAAGAAAAGTATGGTAAACAATTATTTAAAAGAGTATTTCAAGTTAAAAATCATTTTGCAAATAATTTCCTTTGCGATTTTGATAAATGAAAACCTATTTTGTATATCTTGAATTTTATAAACTCTGATTACAGTGGTTTCAACTCCCGTAGGGTAAGTTATAGTAATCGCAAAAAAAATCAAAAATGAAAATTTTCATGTATGTTTACGTTTCAAAGGTTTCTCATCATTTTGGCATACCTAGAAAAAATACGATTTTGAGAACACGGATCAACCAATTTGAATAATTCAATTCCTATTGATAAGGAGACGTGCCGATTAGTTTTTGTCAGAGTCAGGTTTTGCCGTTCCGAAGACACTGGGCAAAAAGCGCCAAAAATGGTATTTTTTTTTAAAGTTCTAAAAAATATTGAATCTTTTTTAAAAACTTTAATTTTTGGTACAGGGAGTTCCAGCAATTATACAATAATCTATTGCCAAAAAAAACTTCATAAAAATCGGCAGAATTTTTTTCCACATTTAATTTCAAGAAAACGGCTCGGTAAAATTTTACCTAAAACTAATCAGCATCATTCTCAACCAATATTTTTCAAAAAGTTTTTGATTATTTAAAATCAGCCGATCGTCACACAAAACTGAGAAAAGATAATCCACATCGAAATACATCGATTGGCATTTAAATTTTGAAATCGGTTCAGCCGTTTTTGAGCAAACGTCGATGAAAGTCCTATTATAATTTTGACAAAAGCCAAAAAACGACACTAAAATTTGACGAATTACGGTATCTACCATAAAAAAATTCATAAAAATCGTCGAAAAAAATTTCCTAACACTTTATTACAAGAAAACGGTACGGCTGATCTTTACCAGAAACTAATAAGGTCGTTTCCCACTTTTCTGCATATTAATTTACAAAGAGACTAGACATTTAAAACTAAGAAACGCTAGTCATTATCGAGATACATCGAGGAAACGTCGATTTACGGCAAAAAATCTGTTCACATATACACATACACCTTTTCCAAATTTGGTCTCATTCGATTCAGAATGGCTTGAAACGTCGAGAAAACATAAAATCGGATCGGATTTTGTTATGAAAACATGAACTTCTCCTTCGGGAAGTTAATATTAACAAAGAAAGTAAATAAATGTGAGATTTAGAATTTGCTATGTACTTAATTTATTTTACAAAATATAATAGTAATTTTAAATACCCTTACACTTACTACATCATAGATATTTTATTTTAAGTTGAGATAAATCTTGATATCATTTTCAATTGGTTAAAGAATTAGTTTTATTGTGCGAAATTCGTCAATCTAAATGTTGTTCTTGATTATTAATAATAACATGTATATTATTGTTGCAGGATTCAGGAGTCGGGACTCCGGTGACGCTGCGGGTCGACCCGCGCGGCTTTTACTTGCACTGGGTCGACCAGAATCACGAGACCGACTTGCTCGACATCGCCACCATCCGCGACACTAGGACGGGACAATACGCGCGCGTGCCAAAGGTCAGTATCATATATTTATGTGGAAATCAATAATGGTAATTAAATAATAACTAATTGAATACACGATTTAACTCTCTGTAAAGTAAGTTATTGAAATCTAAATTGTGATTTTTGTTTATGACTTTACACTGCAACCATCCGTTATTTTGGGTATAGAGTAGGGAGGGTTCAATTGTTCAATTTGAATTTGAACAATTGTATTGTGAAAACCGACCTAATTTTATTACAATAAATGTATCAAACCAACAACAATCTGCCCAGTAAACACCCAGCGGCGGTAGCAATCTGAAATCCACATAGATTATATATGGATGTCACAGCAATGAAGGCACGCTTGTGGATTTCAGGTTGCTGCCGACGCTCACATCACACGGTGTGTACTGGGTGTTGTTACAATGTTCAGTATAACCCTCAAACAATTCACTATTGCAAAAATGTGTTTTTTTTTTGCTGTTTTCAAAAAATTTTTCACCTGGTTCTTCTTATCTCGCAGGCGAAGGAAAAAGAGACGACCATGTGGTAAGCAGATCCAATGTCTTAATTCTAAATTTAAAGGGATTTTACGAAATAATCGCAAAATATAAATTTCATGAGTACATTTTGTTTGATCCAAAATTGTATCATCATTTATAGATTTTAATCAAATAATTATCCAAAACATATCAGTCGAGTTATTGAAAACCGAGTTGAAAGGCTAATATGAATTTTTTCTAAAAGTACGATTAACAACTGACATTCAACGTTAGGAGGGTAGAGCGGAGCATAAAGATCTGCGGGTTAAAAGGTCCACCACCGATATTTCAAAAACCAGTAAAGTAATGATTTTTTCACAACAATATTTGAAAGTAGAGGGAAAAGAATGTATGAGCTGCCATAACCTTGATTTTTACGATATTGCTTACGAAAAAAACGGCAATGTTTCAAAGTCTATGACAAAAGCATTTTCTTTCGTTGATAGTTTTTTTTGTCCTGAGCACTGTTGCTCAGCAAATAAAATTTACGAGACTTTAATAAAAATTTTTAGTACGTAAACTAGATTCAACAGTTTTTTAAATAAATTCTATTGAAACTTAAACTGGTGGGGCACGAAGGAACAACCAAATTGAATAACTAGTGGTGAAACTTTGCGTATCGAAAATTATTTTTTTTTTTAAATTAAAAAACTTCGGAAAAAATATTTTTGAGAATATTAAATTTTTTTATATAATTAGACTTTTTTGAATAATTTTTTTTAATATTTCGAGAATTTTTTTATACTTTGAAATTTTCTGTTTTTTTTTTTTCAAAGCAATCGTGCTGCATGGCTTCTCTTCGAGAAAAAATATCGAAGCGCGACAGCGCTCCATCTCCGCCCAAATTATTATTAAAATATCTGATAATTTGATGTGCATATGTCTAATGATCATTTTTGACCTCGAAATGGCCTCTTTTTTACTTTTTTCACTCGATCTCCAAAACCACTAGACCTGCTTTTGCAAAAATATAGAGGGTACTTTATTTTATCAATACAAGTAAAATGTTTTCTGAATTATTCAAATCGCACGCACCGATCTATCAAAAACTGAGTTACCATATTTGGCTTTTTTGCCCCCTATCTTCGAAATGGCTAGACCTGCCTTTGCAAAAAAAAATATCGTCTTCTCATCAATAGGAATCGAATATTTTTCGAATGATTCAAATCGGTTGTTCCGGGTATCCAAAATCGTCGACGAAAATTTGTATTCGCACACACGCACACGCACGCATACATTCATTTTTTCTAAGGTATGTCAAAATGTTCAGAAACCTCTGAAACGTAGAGGCATAAAAATTTTCTTTTTCGATTTTTTGCGATTACTATAACTTACCCTACGGGTAGTTAAATGATTATTCCAAATCTGCTGATGAATAATTGTGACGAAATACCAGATCAAGAATTTTTACAGTGTCATCTTTGTGAAAATGCAACCTTGAATTTTATATTTAGCATTAGTTGAGTGAAGCAGCTATTATTTTGTAAAATCCCTTTGAAATTAAAATAAAACATTGGACCCCGGCCGTCCCATTTTATCCTGACTATAGGATAAAAAAGACTAGGTTACAAATTTTTGAAAATTCGCAAAAAAAACTAATTTCTACAATGATTTTGATTACCTGGGATATTTACTGTTTGTTTGATAGTCAAATTGAACAGCGTGTTTTTGAATTTTGTTTTCTTCATGATTTTTATGATTTAGGATTTTACGCTTCATTTTTTTTTTGAAGACTCCTAAATTCATTAGCAAACTCCTTGATAACAGAGAACTATCCAAGAAGGGTGAAAAGAAAAGCTCCACTTGATCATCAACTTTCCTGACAAAAAAATTAAAATAACTTAGTCATTATTATAAGAAATTATTTTATAAGTAAATAGTTACAATTGTATAATCACCAATAAAATATTATGAGTATTACGTCGAATGGGAAAACAACTATTGAGTTGTTTAGTATACAATGTCCCTTTACGGCCGACAATCGTAAATTCCACAAATTTTTTAAATGTCCCTAACTGGACTGCTGTAAATAAAAAAGAGAATAATTTTTTTTGAGAGTAAACTATTCATATTTATAGTTCTTTTATTCTATACATAAGAAGGAGAAAAATATCAAGTATTGAAATGTATGATTCGTCATAACTTGTGCATTTTTATACACATCGGTGCGGTGCTAAGTCGGGCTTTCATATATAAATATAATATATATATATATATATATATATACATTTATATTACATATATTTTAAACGATTTTCTTGCTTTAATATTATTTCAGTGCTTCTTCAATAAAAATGTTTACGATCAGCTCAGCCAATCCACTGGTAATAATATTCTCCGCGTGGGAGACATATACGGATTCAATTGCGATACCTAGTCTAGTTCATCTTCTCCCACATTTGATTCAAGATTGCGGTGCAAGAATCTCATTTTATTTTACCTCTGTCATTTTATTCTTTTTCATTCATTTAATGATCTCTGAGTTCATTCGATATTATCGAAGGCGAATAGATGTTCGAAACAAAATATTTCTTGAATACTTTGGCCGTATGTTATTATATGCATTATTGGAGAACTTTTCTATAAATATTTTTTTATTCGATTTTACGATTGTGCTTGCAACGCTTTTTGAAATAAAACATCTTTAGGCGCGACTGGGGTGTAAATCCGTACAAAATTGCATTACGCCCGAACTGTACGTCATTCGCTCTCGATGAAATCATTTCAATACGGGTCTATTGTAATTAGTCGTCGTGTATAGAGATCTGTCGTTGTATGCTTACCGGTATCAACGTTGTATGCGTACCGATATCAACAAGGAAATCGGCATAGATAAATGAATATTTTAAATTTACATCGTAGTACAAATCTTGATTTAATAAAAAATGCTTGAATCAGAAGAATATTTTACCCTTTTTGAAAATAATAAAACAAATTAAACATTTGTGCCGTGTACTAAAAGTAAGTTTATTGATTAGAAATTATTTCTATATTATTCGTAGTTTCTATAAATACTTGGTTATTAAAATGGAAAACATTTTTTAGACAAGGCAGATATTACAGCTGTTCAAAGAATGAGATTATATCGCCAGCGAAAAAGTAATAAAAATCAGGCCGTCAATGAATGTATGTTAATTTTAATTACACGATGTTCTTCAAACACAATTATATGATGAGTGAAATTGCGGAAACAATATTTGTTTACAACAAAATCCACTGTGTGAACGAATATTATAGAAGTTAATAATCAGCAATTTGTACATATCTCTAATGATGGTTCATTTCTAAATGCTAATTACAATGACAAACCGATCATGTCATATTTAAAGTATGACTTTAATTATACTTTCAATTTTTAATATTATACATTTTACAAATTAATTATTAATGCTATTATAAATATATAATTTATAATTTATCATAATATAAATGTGTATAATGGTTGACACCAATAAATATGTGCATCACGAGTGTTACCATATTACTAATAAACATTATTAAAAATTGTTATATGACGTATTTATTAACTTCCCGTAGGGTAAGTTAATGTAATGGGCCGAAAATCGAAATTGAAAATTTTTACATTTCTCGACGTTTTGAAGGTTTCTGAACATTTTGGCATACCTCAGAAAAAATGGATGTGTATGTATGTATATGTGTGTGTATGTGTGTGTATGTTTGTATGGATACAATTTTTGTCCACATTTTCGGACGTACGGACCAACCGATTTGAATGGTTCAAAAAACATTCCTATTGATAGGGAGATGTGCTGATTAGTTTTTGGCAAAGGCAGTTCCAGCAGTTACGGAGATAAAGAGCAAAGAGTGCAGAAAATAGAAATCATCCGATTTTAATGATCCAAAAACATTAAATTACTAATGATTGGGAGAAGTGTTTATTAGTTTTTGGCAAAGGCATGCCCAGCCATTTCGAAGATACGGAGCTAAATGTGTAAAAAATTTGCCTCAAAAAGGCAGTTTTTGAGAGAACTAACCGTCCAAATTAAATGATTCAAAGAACTTTAAGCTTGTTTCAACAAAATAATTAATATGAAAAAAAATGTATCATTATTTTTTTTAGTTTTTTTTTGTATATCGAAAATAATTTAGATTTTATTTTTAATTCTGACTAAAGTTCTAATATACTTTAAACAAATAATTTTAACTTTGCAATTCGGTTTATATAATTCTTATAAATATTAGACAATGTTACAATATTAATAATAATCTATTTGAAAGCATTCAGTATTCTTCGAACATTTCGTTACGGTACGGGAAGTTCCAGCAATCTGCCTTAAGGCACGATGCCATACACCCCACTAGTTTTTACTTAAATGCTATCTTGTACAGTAGCAAATAAGTTTTACTTCAATCGGGTGTTGTGAACCTTACGCGCACTCTTTTTTAAAATTATGTTTTAGTTTGGTTTCGCTAATTAGGCGGATTTAATTAAAAACCAATATGTTAACAATTTAATGATAAATTGAT